TGTGTATAAGAGACAGGGGCTGACCCGCCTCCCCTGGGGCAGTGTGGCTGGCCACGTTGCCGGTGTCCTCAGGCTGGTCCCGAGACCCCTGTGTCTCCGCGGGAGCAGGGTGGGGCCGGCCCCCGCGCCCCCTCCCCACGGCCCCAGCATCACCCCGGCTTCTCTGCCGTTTCAGGGACCGACGAACATGGGCTGAAGATCCAGCAGGCCGCGGCCGCGGCAGGGACGACTCCCCCGGAGCTCTGCGAGCGGGTCTCCAGACTTTTTCACCAGGCCTTGACCCACGCTGACGTCTCCTTCACTGACTTCACCCGCACCAGCGAGCCCCGCCACCGGCGAGCCGTGCGTCATTTCTGGGGTGCCCTCTGGGATGGAGGGGCACTCTACAAAGGGTCTTACGAGGGCTGGTACTGCACTCCCGAGGAGTGCTTCCTCCCCGAGAGCCAACTCGCCGAGCGCAGGGATGCCCAGGGACGCCTGTGCAAGGTGTCTTTGGAGACTGGCCATCAGGTAACAGCACCTGCACCGGCCTGGTCAAGGGCGACCAGTCCTGCAGAAGCACTGCGTACTCATCAGTTGCTCTGGTCTGGCCAAATTTGGGAGTGTTTAATGCTTCCCGTAGCCTTTTGTGATTCATGTCAGCTGCGACTCACCTGTATTTCATAGAATGTCTCTTCTGTGTTGATAGTGGTGTGTGGTTATGCAGGGGGGAGCTGCCAGAACCCCAACTGGCAGATGCAAATTTCAGCCATGTGCCATGGGAAGGATTCAGCTGCTGCTGGGTTTCACAAGCTGCTGGCCTGGAGGCAGCGTTTTAAAGCAGTGATGAAAGAAGTTAACTGCAGAAGGATACAGGTGCTTATAACAGAGGTGTTTGTTGGGTGTCTGGAGATTGAGACGTATTTTGTGAGGCAATTCAGTTTGGCCTCTGGACACTTTGCATCGATCTTGTTAGGCAGGTTTTGGCCTTATGTAAAACACCGTAACATCATCTGCTTGTGGTCTAGTCTGATGACTGAATAGTGGTGCAACCAGGAGTGTGGTGCCTGACTGAGAGTCTCTGCCACTGTGTTTTCTGTAAAGTGTCAGGAGTGACATAATTTAATCCAGCAGTTGCAGATAATCGTGCTTCAGAGCTAAGTGGGGGTTACACTCTTGTGATACTTGTATGAGGCTGGGTCATAGGACTGTTGGTTCACACAGGAAGGGGTGTGTTGGCAAATAGTATCTCTCAATAAAGCACCTGATGTAGTTGGGAAAAAGATAAGTTTCCAGGCAGAGAAATCATTCTTTAGATTTAAAATAGAGCCAGCAAGCTTCAAAGTCAAATATACCCTGAGAACAGTTACTTGCCTTAGCTGCATATCAAACTGTGCAAGAGAAACAGTCGTGTGCATGGTGCAGTGAAGGTCTTGCAAGGTGGTAGGTGTTTATCTTCAACCAGAAAGAGACAGTTCATTGTTTGAGGGTTTTGTAAAAGAAAAGGGGGAGTTTACAACATGCCATAAAACATGTACTTCAGGTGAGTCTCTGATTTTTGGCATCCAGTAGAGCTTGGGGCTGAAAATGTGTAGCTCATCTTTGAATTAATGTTCTTCAGGTCTTCCTTGAACACTGAGAGGTCAGAGTCTGTTCTGTAGGAAATGATCCTCCTTCTTCACTCTGTTACTGCACTTTTTTGTCATTTAATACGCAGAGAAGCTGGAGAAGGGCCACCAGAGGCACCCAGTGTAGTCAGGGTACGGAGCACATGCTTACAAGAGGTAGAGGGAACTGGGCCAGTTTAGTTTGCCAAACAGGACACAAAGGGTTAAGCTAATAGCAGCCTGCACCCATTCATGGGGCACAAAGAGCACAAAGCCTCATACTTCTCGGGAGTGCCAGATGCTAGACCAAGGGATAACTGTGCCACAAGCTGTGCTGTGGGGTCTGGCTGGGTGTTAGGATAAGCTCTCCCCAGGAGGGTGGTGCAGTCCTGGAGCTGGTCCCCAGTGAAGTGGGGGAGCCCCATCCTTGGCTGGGTAAAGCTCCAATCACCTTTGGCTGGTGCCAGCCCTGCTGAGAGCAGGCTGTGGGGCCGGAGAGAGGTGGGTGGCCTGTCCCACCTCTGCTGTTCTTGTTTTATGGGTTCGTTTTGGTGTAGGGTGGTGGATTAGTTTACCTGCAGAGTGAGCAGATGCTCCCTTGCAGGACCAGGAACTGTGGTGTTCTGTATTTGCTAGGAGGGGAGCTGCATTTATTGCATGCAGTCATTGCTTGGTCCAGCCAGGAGACAGTTGGTGCATGTGAGGCTGCAGGGCTTCTCTTTCTGATGAGGCAGTGAGCTGGGGCTGGGAACTGACTGTCCCAAGAGTGTGATGAAAAAGCCCTGGGGGACTGATAAAGAACAAGCTGGATGTGAGACAGCAGTGTGCCCTGGCAGCAAAGGCAGCCAACGGGATTATCTCAGGCTGTATGAACAGGAGCAATTTCTGTTCAAGGGATATGATTATCCTCCTCTACTCAGCACTCTAATGACCACATCTGGGTACTGCATCCAGTTTTCTGTCTCCTAATACAGGAAACACAACCTAGAAACTGGAAGGAATTCAGTGGAGGGCCAGGAAGATCATTAGGATGCTAGAGCACTTGCTGTTTGAGGAGAGGCTGTTTCTTCAACCTTAGAGAAGTCAGGATTTTGGGAAGGCCTAGTGGCAGAAGCTCCCCAGTAGCTACAAGGAGGTCATCTAGAAGATGGACCCAGGTTCTTCTAATGGTACGTGGCAGTAGGATGAGAGAATGCACATAAGTTGAAACAAGAGAGGTTCAGACTCGATTTACAGAGAAACTTTTTCCCTATGAGGACAACTAAGCAGCAGAACGGGCTGCCTGGGGAAGCGGTCTCCATCCTTAGAGATTTTAAATATGTGCCTCGCTAAAGCTCTGAGTAAGTTGTTCTAACCCTGTACGTGACCCTGCTGTAAGCAGGAGCCTGGACTGGAGACTTCCTGAATTATCCTGTGCTCGTAAGGTCAGAGCTGTTTGAAAGTCAGGGGAGATGGCACACAGATTTCTCTTCAGGGCAGATATTCCAGTAACTGGTCACAGGCAAGCCTTGAACAGAGACACTAGTTTTGCAGGTTATAATTATTCTGCCCTTTATCAACCTCTCTGTATGCTCCAGACTAATTTACCAGTTCACACGAGACAGCCTATTTCTAATCTATTTTCTTCTTCCTGCTGAACTACTCTCTACTCACCTGTCAACCACCTTTTCTGCAGATGGCTAGCTGATAAGAGCTAGCTCAGCTCTGAGCACTTGTCAGATAATGTGAGGTGGGCTCTTCAGAGCCGAACACCAGACTTGGTCAGCATTTCAGAAGAAATGATTGCAGGTTCCACTTTGATATGGCTTTTGTGTCCCGAGTTCTTACCAAAAGGGTCCCTGGATTGTGTAAAAGGGAATATTGGATAGAGGACATGGCATTGGTTCTGTGTGAAGTGTTACGCCTGGACAGAGTGCTGAGAGCTGGTACCTAGAAACTAAAAAAGATTGCAGAAAAATATAAAGAATTTGGGGGGTGGGACCAAAACATTTTTGTGTAACTTTTTTATGTTTTATGTAGGGGAGACTATTTCTTTTGGGATAATCTTCTAGTCAAGTAAGCAAAGGTAGTATTTGCTACTGGCTGCTACTGAAATCAGTGAATTCAGCTACATCATAAAGCAGTTTTATACCACTGGGATTAATTACTCCTTAGGGTATGTCAGCGTGAGGCTCTTTACTGGTTCTATTGAGAGTGAGGCACTTTCTGACTCAGAAGTTGTTGGGTTCAGTGCTAGAAACTGAAACTCTCCTGTGTGATGCCAAAGCCTATAGTTTCTTATCTTACAGCCTTATTTAGCTTTGAAAGGTAAGACTTCTTGACTTAGCTAGCCATAGATCTCTTGAGTGCCTTTACACAGTTTGCTTGTACCATATCTACCCACAAAGTTTTCATTGTTTTAGCTAAATGTGGTTTTTAATTAATTTAAATTTGTGGGAGAAGTGCTGTCAGTACTTCTAACATGATTTTAGGCTAACAAAGTTAGAACCTAAGATGCACTAATTCTTAAACTGGGGAGAAAGAGGAACATAGTGTCTAGGAGAAAAGCAGACACACCTGTTCTGCTGATCAAGGATGCCAGTTAAACTAAGTCTGGCAGGTAGAAGGGTATTCCTTCCCTGGGGACATGAGCATCTTTAAAAGCAGAGTCCCAAGTGCTGAAGTCCTTGGGTGTTGCCCTGGGAAACCCAGGGAAGCAGGTACCTTAGGAGGTTCCCACTACCCATAGGAACATACCAGGGTCTTCACGTGTGGTGGGGAGCACACCAATGCAGAAGGAGCGTGCGACGAACTCAGCACTGAGAACTGCAAATTGTAAAACTGTTTGCAGGGTGTGTGGGCCATAATTCTTTTCTCTCCTGCCTTCTCAGGTGCACTGGACCAAAGAGGAGAATTACATGTTCAGGCTCTCAGCATTCCAGGATCCATTGCGGAAGTGGCTCCAGGACAACCCACAGGCCATTTCCCCACAGCCTTTCTACCAGCGTGTGCTCCACTGGCTGGAAGAGGACTTGCCAGACTTGTCCGTCTCTCGTGAGAGCAGCCGGCTGCAGTGGGGTATCCCTGTCCCCAGTGACTCAACACAAACTATTTATGTATGGGTAGATGCCTTGGTGAACTATCTGAGCGTGGTGGGCTACCCCGAGACACACGGTGAGTGGTGGCCAGCTGTGCACCATGTTGTGGGCAAGGACATCCTCAAGTTTCATGCTGTCTACTGGCCAGCACTGCTGATGGCAGCAGGGCTGGCTCCCCCTGAGCGAATCCTTGTGCACTCCCACTGGACTGTCCGTGGACAGAAGATGTCCAAAAGCCTGGGCAATGTGATTGACCCCTTTGCTTGTATTGGACAGTATACAGTAGATGGATTTCGGTACTTCCTGCTAAGGCAGGGTGTACCTGAGCGGGATTGTGACTATTATGATGAGAAGGTTGTTAAGGTAGTGAATTCAGAACTGGCAGATGCACTTGGGGGACTTCTCAATCGGTCAACAGCCCTCAGCATTAACCCCAGCAACACTTACCCTTGTTTCTCAGAGTCTTGTTTTCCAAAAGTCTTGGATTACCGGGAGACAAAAGGCATGGGTAGGGCTTCTGCTGAAGACTATGAGTTTGTGGCATCTGTGGCTTCTCTGCCTCTGCAGGTGGCTAATTATTTTGAAGGTTTCCAGATCTACAAGGCTTTAGAATGTATTGCCCTTTGTGTCAGGCAGACCAACAGTTTCTTCCAGAGACACAGACCTTGGAAACTCAACCGAAAAGACCCTGCAGAGCAGCTTTGGCTTGACACCATCATCCACGTTACGCTGGAATGCCTGCGTGTCTATGGGACTCTCCTGCAGCCCATGATCCCACACACTGCAGACAGGTTGCTTTCCAGGCTGGCTGTTGAGCCAGAAGAGAGAAGTCTCTCGAGTTTGACATTTCTGGCACGCTACAATGGGAAGTCATGTCCCTTTGAAGGGAGGCAGCTTGGACCTGACACTGGCATTTTATTTCACAGACTAGATGAGTCAAGACAGCCTCAGATAGAAACGAAGAAGCTTTAGTCTGACAAACAGCTTCTGTAAATAAATGCCTCCAGGAACTCCCAGAAAATGTTGTCTTTGTTAAAAGCATGTTCCTCCCATCTCTTGGTGGTGATATAAAGTGGATGGTGGAAAACCAGACTGAGCAGGGCTGTGCTGTCCTGCCTGGTGACCGGCATAGGCCTGTGCCTGACATGAGAAGCAGACACATTCAGGCAGATGAGTTGCATGATTGGGGCTAAGAGCTCAGGTAGTGCCCCTGAAGGAACACCTAATTATCTAAGCTTGTAACAGCATTCTGAAGACATAGCGTGGGGTTAGAATATTGCTGCTTTTTTCCCCTGACGTATTTTATGGGACATAAAAAGCAGGTGAGGCAAATACTTATCCCCTTAAAATAGGGAAATCTTCCTATACAGTCTTGGGGCTCCACTTGAGAATCCTCTTGCCTGTGTCACATATCTTGTCTCCTGACCCCTTTACCTTCTCTTTTCTGATGGAACAGATCAGGTGCTCTGCTGAAGACATTAAACACTCAAACACAAATGCGGCAGCCGATCTGCTCGGCAGTCTCTTCCAGACAGCAGCTCCCCAGCTGGCTCACTCCAGGAATCCCCCCTCAGGCTAGCATCAGGCTGAGTCTCCAGGAGGATCAAACTACCCCTGAGGAAAGAAGGGTCTTTCCTGGTGCCTTCACAGTGTTGTCTCTGCTCACACAGAGGGCTGAGCACCAGTTCTGCAGCTGGTGTCCTCATCTTGATTTTGCCCTGCAGGTTTCTGGCCAAGCCCGAATTAGCTGAGGGTAGACAGAAATGGTTTCCCTGTAACATCTCTGGGACACAGTCCAAATGGATCTGTTGGGTCCATCAGCTGAGCTTCATTTGAGGGTCCAAACCTCCATTTAGCTGATGTCTTTGTGAGCCTCGATGGGGAAGATCCCTTCTGTGTGACTGCTCTTTACACGGAGATGTTCCGGTGAAACGGGATGGCTCAGTGGTCCAATGGGTGGTCTCACTCTGCTGCACAGACTTGCAGATGTGTCCAAAATGAGAAAGGGGTGGAGTGGGGGTGGGGATGCATTTCAGGTCCAGACTCAACTTTAGGAGGCTTTTCTGCCTGCTGCATGGTTTATTGCACCCTCTTTGTTGCATTTCAGCGCTGCTGGAAGCAGGCAGCTGAGCACTGGTACCTTGGTGCGGTTGTGACCATTTTGAGAAGGATTTAGCAGAGGTTCCTTCCTTTGGCTCCTCCGCTTCCCATCAAGCGCCTGCACTGCAGAGGTCTTGTATCAGCAGCCAGTTTTAGGGGGCTGCGGTCTCTTTTGGAGCTGCCTGGGCTGTGTTACCAGGGACAGCAGGAGCAGTGCAACCCCCTTGGGGCACCGCGGGTCTCCACGGACGCAGCAGAGGGACAGACAGACCAACCTGCTTCTCCCTCGTGTTGCCCTTGGGGTTCTCCACGATGCCCCCCCTGTGCCGCAGCACGCTGTGCGGCCTGTTTTGCATTACCCATGAGAAGAAAGCCAGGTCCCCTCAGCCCGTCCTGCGGTGGTAATCCTCCTCCCTGTGCAGCTTTACCGGGTACCCCTCGCTCCTGCCAGCCCTGTGTGCGTGCTCCAGGCTGCAGCCCTCCGTGCCCTCATGCCAGGAGCAGGGCAGAGGCCCGTGGGGTACAAGGAGGGTGTCTCGGCGTCGCCAGCCACGGGGGGAGCGAGCGTGTTGGCACCTCTCGGCTCTTGAGCATGTGGGTGTTTCTGTCCCCCAGTTTCTGGTCCTGCCCCCCCCCCGCTGTCACCGCTGGCCTTGGACTGTTGTCCCTCTCTCCCGGGAGGTGACCTGTGTGCCCGGCCCGCCCGGGAAGGCGGCCGGCGGGATGCCCGGGCTGCGAAGGCCGTTTGTCC